AAAAAAAAAAAAAAAAAGAAAAGAAAAAAAAGATACGTATTTATTGCACAAGATCTGAGATCTCTAGCATCCGTTTCCCACCTCCTTGATGATCTCTTGATGAACTTTTATGACCACACTGGCATTCATAAAATAATGCCGTGCTTTCTGTGCCAGCAATGCTCACACAAACATGATGAACGTTTCTAAAACCTGCTGCACTTTTTGTAAGAAATGTGGCAAGCACCAACTCCGCAAAGTGACAGTACAAGAAGGGCAGGGGTTCTCTGTGTGCCCAGGGACAGTGGCGTTATGACAGGAAGCAGAGTGGCTATGGTGGGCAGACTAAGCCGATTTTTCTGGAAAAAGGCTAAAACTACAAAGAAGATTGTGCTAAAGTTTGAGTGTGGTGAGCCCAATGCAGATCTAAGAGAATGCCGGCTCTGAAAAGATGCCAGCATTTTGAACTGGGAGGAGATAGGAAGAGAAAGGGCCAACTGATCCAGTTCTAAGTGTCAACTTTTGTTTTATTACGAAGACAGTAAAATCTTGAATTTATGTTCACTTCAAAAATAAATAAATAAAATAATATAATATAATGGCTTGTTGTTGGCCTGACCCGTATTATTAGACCAAAGCGCAGAAAGGGAGAGTCACTGACATGACTAGCCTTCTAGCCAGGAAGCAGACTTAAAAAAGAGAAAGCGACTGATGATTCCAGTCTTCTTTTTATTTCATTCTTAGTAACAAGTTCACTATTTTGGAAAATGGAAAATGTACCACATTTTTATTGAGAATAATATTAATAGCATAAAGGGATTCTAATTTACTTAGAAGACAGTAGGAACCAGACACCTACTTTATTAGTAGACTGCCAAATGAATTGGATGTGTGACTGTGATATAAAATTTCTCACACATTTATGTTTATCAGTAAACCATTGTTATTTGTAAGCATGACAATAATCGCTTTATCAAATATATAGTATTATTCAACAGGATTCTGCCTGTATTTTATATAAAATATGAATGAATTTTGAAAGACAACTATGAAAACATATTTATACTAATTTATGTACTGGTGTGTCTTTGGTCCTTTCGTTTATAAGAAATTAAGCAATCTTCAGACTGTGGACTTTTCATTTGGTTCTGGTTTGGTTTGTGTGCTATCGCATAAATGGTAGGTTAAGTACATGATAGAAAGTTCATTTGGAAATCTGAAAATCAGGCCAGGCATGGTGGCTCACACCTGTAATCCCAGCACTTTGGGAGGCCGAGGCGGGCAGATCATGAGGTCAGGAGTTGGAGATCATCCTGGCCAACATGGTGAAACCCCATCTCTACTAAAAATACAAAATTAGCCAGGTGTAGTGGTACGCACCTGTAGTCCCAGATACTTAGGTGGCTGAGGCGGGAGAATCACTTGAACTTAGGAGGCGGAGATTGCAGTGAGCTAAGATTGTGCCACTACAGTCCAGCCTGGCAACAGAGCAAGACTCCATCTCAAAANAAAAAAAAAAAAAAAAAAATCTGAAAATCATTCTACACTAGGGAAGAAAAAAGTACAGATCTTTGCAGACTTAACATGAGGAAGATTTTTGTGCAGTTTCCCGCTTTGACTATATCCATTTCTCTGTGCCAGCAAAAGGCCTTTTGGAGTTTATTGCAGAGTTTGCCTTCATTACCTTTGTGTTGCATTTCTGTGACATGTTCTGCCCTTTGGCTCTCCTGTGGAATGACTGTTGCAGAATTTTGCTTTTGTAAGAGTTGCTACATGAGAAATTGTCTTGGAAATGTTGTCTTCAGGCATGTCTCTTTCCCTTACTTCATGAATTAAGTTTTATTTGATTTGTAAATCATTATTTTCCATTTTTTTTCCATTTCAGAGCCACTCAGTACACATGCATGTTGCTTAGATATTTGTTAGAGCCTAAAGCTGGCAAAGAGAAGGTGGTAATGAAGCTCAAGAAACTGGAGTCCAGTGTGAGCACTGGCCGTAAATGTAAGTACCCTGTTTCTTGAGGGACAGTGGCTCCTGGTTTAGAATCTTCAGCCTCAGACTCTGTAATTCATGGAGTAATTTCTTGGTCATTAATTTCTGGTCAATCAAGTTTATTGATGAAATTGACCAGTAAGGCTGCTCTCATGGCACAGCAGGTTTGAATGTGTTGCTGCAGACCATTATAAACACCCTCTTCTGTTCACACCTGGTGCTACACCTTATCCTCCTGCTTAGTCATAACCAGTGGGACATACACCGTGTTCGTTCAACTTTAGTTCTTAGACTCACAGTATGTTTAGCAGCCTCTGACGTGAGCTTCTGCTCTTGTGAACCCCTTTGTTCTAAAGAAGAGTAGAATCGTTATATCCTAGACCACCTGCCTCTTTCCTTTCTTGAGGAGTGCTAGAGGATATATAGGTGGATACAGTTTTATAGACCATTTGTGGGGCAGGTTTATGTTAAAGGTAAAAAGTGAAGTCAATACTTTGTGCTTATTTAGTTCACTTTATCAATACATCATATTGGGAAATCCAGTACTTCCCTTCTGACTGTTTGTTGTTTGATGAAAACCAGATGTTGCTGTAGTAGGTTGGCAGAGGCATTAGAATGGAATGAAGAGCATCACATATTGATCACTTGGTTTTGAGCAGCTGTGTCATATAGGTACATTCCTCAGCCTTATGGGGGAAGTAAGGTGCTTTAAATAATCACATATAAGATTTAGTGCCAAACTTGTTGGCTGGAGTAGAGGAAAAGAAAGGTGTTGAGGAGGAGGTGGAACTTAAGATGTAGCTAGAGAGAAGGAAGGAGAGAGTTTCGAAGGGCAGTTTCCTCTAGTAAAGGCTCGGAACTCTTCTGAGCAAACTATTATAAGGGAGGATTATCTACGAACTAGCTTGACAGAGAGAAGATTTAACATGTCAAGCAGAGGGATGGGAAGGGTGGGGCAAGATTTTCTGGATGGTATTGAGGGCCAAGATTAGAAATTCTATTTAGATTATTTAGAATATTGCAGCTCAAAGGTCCTTTAGAGGTCACTGGTCTCTAAATCCAGAAGAGGTCCAGGGTCATTCAGCCAGTTAGTGCAAGAGCCAGAACTGGAACCCAGAATCTATATACTAAAAATGGTCATTACATATACTACTTCACTATTTTATTTTTGCTAACAATACCAAATCTTCTTCTTCTTTTTTTTCTTTTTTTGAGATGGAGTCTTACTCTGTTGCCCAGGCTGGAGTGCAGTGGCGTGATCTTGGCTCACTGCAACCTCCACCTCCCAGATTTAAGCGATTCTCCCACTTCTGTCTCTCTAGTAGCTGGGACTACAGGTGTGTGCCAATACACCTGGCTAATTTTTATTTTTGTTTTTTTTAGTAGAGACAGGGTTTCACCATGTTGGCCAGGCTGGTCTCGAACTCCTGACCTCAGGTGATCTGCCCACCTTGGCCTCCCAAAGTGTTGGGATTACAGGCGTGAGCCTCTTCTGGGATGATAAGTTTTCTGAGAGTAGCTACTGAGCGCTGAGTGCGTTCTGAATCTAAGGTGTGGTCCTCCAAGGCAAAGTACTTCTTTTGTATCCTTCATGACATTTAGGACTAGAACTCTTTCTCAGAAGATGTTCAGTAAGTACCTGTTGATTGATACATCCCTAATGAATTGAATTGCATGCTCACATAAGGACATGCCATTGCAATGGTTGATTTAATTCAGCCAGGAGGTCTGTGACAATATTATTAATTGTCCTATTCATTAAATTCCACCATCTCTACTTTATTTTCTTGATAGTAGGTAGCCAAAAGGGGTTTGGACCAGATAAATGGCAAAATGATAATAGTATGTTTTAAAAAGACAGTCTTTTGTCTGGAAAGTAAATAAAACGTAAGGCATCAGACTCCCCAAGAGAGTACTGCATCTGGATTCATGTTATAGTACCTTCCTTCTAAAGAAGTGTAGCTGGTAAATAATCAAATATAACAATCCACACTCATGATTGACCCTGCCTGGAGTATGCCATCAGTCAACATTAAGGTGTTCATTGCAGTGGAGGAGGTAAATTTAAAGAGTCACCGTATTTTTTGCCTTCCAGAATCATTTTAGGTGTCCTTAATGTACTGTTTATCTTTTCTGAACAACGGCTGAGCCTTGAATGACCATCAGTTGTTAAAAAAATCAGTGCTAAGCTGGGCATGGTGGCTCATGCCTGTTATCCCAACTACTCTGGAGGCTGAGGTGGGAGGATTGCTTGAGCCCAGGAGGTTGAGGTTACTGTGAGCTGTGATGGTGCCACTGCACTCCAGCCCGTGTTACAGAGCGAGACCCTGCCTCAACAAAAAACAACGAAAAGCTGGCTCCTCACCCTGATACAGGGATTCTACCTTCCCATTGTGTACTAATGAAATAACTGTTCACTATTGTGGGTTCTACTTGCAGGGTTCAGACTAGGCAATGTGGTACATGCTGTGCAGGCAACCGAGCAGAGCATTCATGCCACTGACCTGGTACCTCGCTTATGCTTAACACTAGCCAACCTGAACCGTGTGATTTATTTCATCTGTGACACCATCCTCTGGGTGAGGAGCGTAGGTCTCACCTCTGGCATCAACAAAGAGAGATGGCGAACAAGGGCTGCCCGCCACTACTGCTGTTCTCTTCTGCTGAGCCTGGTCAGGGATCTGTATGAAATTTCCCTGCAGATGGAACAAGTTATACACGACAAGGCAAAGAAAGAGAAATCAGCATCCCAGGATCCTCGTGGGTACAGCGTGGCTGATGAAGAAACAGAATGGCTCCAGTCCTTTCTACTTCTCTTGTTCCGATCTCTGAAGCGTCATCCTCCCTTGCTCCTGGACACAGTGAAGAACCTCTGTGATATCCTGAACCCTTTGGACCAGCTGGGGATCTGTAAGTCCAATCCTGGCATCATTGGACTGGTAGGTCTTGTGTCCTCTATAGCAGGCATGATCACTGTGGCGTATCCTCAGATGAAGCTGAAGACCCGTTAGGGTGTTTGCAGGCTTGGAACTAGTACCTACTTTAAAAGATGGCCTCTTAGTGGGATAGACATTTGTGTAACTCACAGGCCATGTCACACTGCTTACGTTCTTGTTCATGTGAGCATTTAGCAACCTGTGATGTGTGCAGAGGTGAGGCCAAGAACAGAGAAGGGAGGAGCATGAAGAGTGGAATGTTTTTGGAGTGCTGGAGTGACTTGTGAATTTCTGAATATTTTCCCTTCATCTAACATTGATTGAACATCTCTTATGCGCATAGTAGGAGTTTAGTATTTGCTGAATGAATAAAAATTGAAAAGAAAAAATTTAAAAAGACCCAATCACACTGATCATTGAGGACTAATATACAGTAACTTTAGGGTTATGTGGCTCATTGTTGTCACAGGATTACAGCAGTCTGGTGCACAGTGCTCTCAGATCTAGTGGAGGCTCTGGTGTCAGCAGCAGGATGGAGGAGAGCTGTGCTTACAGCCTCCCAACTTGTTGGCCCTCACCATCACTGCACCCATGTCCCTGCTCAGTCCAGAAGGCGAATCAGAAAGGCATCAGGCACCTTCATGGAATAAATTGTGTCTGTGGGTGCAGTGAATAAGCAAAAATCAGGAGCAGACAGGAGGGACTCATAGAAATAGGTAGAGGTTCACAATGGGTGCCTATATGTAGCCTGTGACAGATAAGAGGCTGACACTGAAACAAGCAAAAGACAACTGAGGCTAGAGCCTCGTTCCTCTGACAATGGACTCCTAATCCAGCAAAAAACAACTGAGGCCACAGCCTTGTTCCTCTGACTCCGAATCCAGTGTTCTTTCCATGCCATCCCACTTTCTTATTGAGTAGAACTGTGATCCCCTCCTGAATCCTGTTTTTTTGCCTCTTACCCTCTCACAATTTAGAAACTTCCTTGTCCAGTGGTTTATATTCTTTTGTAGAAAAAATAATGTTGGAGTGTGGTGGCTCACGTCTGTAATCCCAACACTTTGGGAGGCTGAAGCAGGAGGATTGCTTGAGGCCAGGAGTTCAAGACCAGCCTGAGCAATACAGTGAGACCCCGTCTCCACAGCAGAGTGTTAAGAAATTAGCCAGGCACGGTGGTGGATGCCTGTAGTCCCAGTTATTCCGGAGGCTGAAGCAGGAGGATTGCCTGAGCCCAGGAGTTAAAGGCTGCAGTGAGCTTCCACTGCACTCCAGCCTGGGTGACAGAGCCAGATGCTGTGTCTTAAAAAAAAATTAAAACAGTACTTAGACTATCAGCTAGATTGTTTTATTTAAAGCCTAATAACAACTTAGGCAATTCTACATTAATTTCCATCAAAGTTTATCCAGTCAGAAAAATGTCATGAATACTGTAGATGTAAGAGGGTCATAATGTTCTCTGGTAAATCAGATGTCTTATTTGTAGTGTGATTGAGGGAGGTGGAAAGAGCAGGAGGAAGCCAGTGAAGAGAACACTGGACTGCTGGGTCATTGACATTGACTCGTGTTCCTGTCTCCCATCTTGGGTGTGGGTTCCTATATGTGGTTACGGATCCTTCAGTTTGAGGGAGGTGAGTGGAGAGATAGGATGCCCGCAGGTGGGAGGCTGATGTCAGTCCTCCCAGCAAAGCCATCTCATTTATCTGAATGGAAGCGAGAAATAAGTATGTACTCAACAAGTAAAATTTCCCAGATATGTGATCGAGATTCTCAAAAAAGTAGGCTCAGATCCTTGGCTGTCTGTTTAACCAATCAAGATATGGGATTTGAGAAATAAAATTTTGGTACTTTTAAGAGAAATGAAAGCTACTAGATCAGGGCAAATAAAAAGCTTAGATAACTTTTTATTGTCCAGATCCTCTACTGTAATAGATTAATTATGTTCAATAAATTTCTAGACAAAATTGACTTGTGTCTGAATGTGTTCTGGGAATAGAGAGGAGTTAAACGTAAGGCAATCCAGCAGGTAATCCCCAATCAGCCTACACAGTGGGTACAGGGAGCTCTAGGCTGGAAGATCTGGGCCGTGCAGGAGGATGGAGAAGGATGGAGATGAAGAGCCTCTGGGTGGAAAGGGACCTCTGAAAGCTCATCTAGACTGCTGCCATGGAGAGGATGTCTTACAGTGGCCCTGTCAATGGCTGGCTGGCTTCTGCCTGTATAAGTCTGCCATGACTTCGTGGTGGCATGTTATGTTATGGTGGTATCCATCATGGGACTTGTGCTCTGCAAGTTATGGTGAGTTGTGGGGATGATGGGAAATACTACCTCCTCTAGAGTTCATGTAAACCTTAATGGTGCCCTGGCACCTCCCTGTGAATCTTTCTCCCTTCTAACTAACATTTTCTACCCCAGAGCCTCCACCTTCATGAGGGATGCCACAAATCAAAGAAGTTCCTCATAGGTGTACAGCCCAGCACATTCGCAGCTGAGCGTGGCTGCCTGATAAGTCATTTATAATAATGAATGTTTGAGTGCCGTGCATGGTTTTGGGGATCCACTTGTGAGCAAGGTGACCTAGGTCCCTGCTCTCATGTGGTGGAGGGGTAGGGAGAGCAGGTGGGGATGGAGAAGGAGAGAAAATAGAACTCTACGCCCTGTGAGCTACTGCTAGAAAACTGACTTTTCTGCCTTCCCTTAGGACTCTCCTAGGCCCCTTCACCACTTCTCACCTCTCACCCACATTCTGTAGCCAGAGGACTAGTTTAGTTGGCAGCGGTTTTGGGCACAGAGCCCTGGACTCCTCTGGCTCGAAGCCACTCCTCTGAAGGCTGAAAGCTGCCCTTTGGCCTAGGTTGCTGTCCAGTCACAGACTCACAAATGATTTGTGCTGAACCTTGAAGTGAGGGCAGAGGCCACTTCTTTAAATACTTTGTCTTCTCAACTGCCTTACATTTTAAAAGCCCAGGTTGGATCAATAAATATTAAATGTATTAGGAGGCTGAGGCAGGCGGATCACGAGGTCAGGAGATTGAGACTACCCTGGCCAACATGGTGAAACCCCATCTCTACTAAAATACAAAAAATTAGCTGGGCATAGGGGTGCATGCCTGTAGTCCCAGCTGCTCAGGAGGCTGAGGCAGGAGAATCGCTTGAACCCGGGAGGCAGAGGTTGCAGTGAACCAAGATCACACCATTGCACTCTACTCTGGTGACAGAGACTCCATCTCAAAAAAATAATAATAAGTATTAAATGTATTGCATAGTACTCCTCTGAAGCCTCCCTGCTTGACTCCTCCCTTTCCTGCCTTCTCATTCCCTACTTTATTACATCACAGATACGGAATTTATTACGAAGGATCTATCATAATTCCCCACCCCCACCTCTTGCTTCTCTTGCCCACAGTGTGCGACTTAGCAGAGTCAACAATACATGTAATTCCACCAGCAACAAGGAAAATAAGCTTTGTTTTCCTATTATCTGTTTTCATTAAGAGGTCCTCCTTAGATCATCTGAAAGCTATGGCTTACACCATAGTCCTCCATCATCTCTGAAGCCAGGGAGTAGATCTTGGGCTTAAGTCCGGGTTAAAGAAGGGTTGAGAGGTGCTAGTTCTTGGTTGTCTGGGTGCTGTTGATTAGTGAAAGAATCTTAGTCAACACTGTCACTTATCCAGGCTTACGAGAACAAAATCAACTTGGCTCTCCCCCTCCTCATCCTGGTAGCATCTTAGGCCAGGTAAAGTCAATACATTTTTTTGAACTCTAGGAAGTGGAAATTCCTCCCTGAAAGGCTATATTGTCAAAAATTCAGCTCCCAGCTGTATCGCTTCTTCGTTGAGAGCAATTTATCACCATAATCAAAGATGAGTACATTCAGATGAACTCTTCTGTGTGGGTTTAAATCTTACTATTCAAGGCTGGATGTGGTGTCTCATGCCTGTAATCCCAGCACTTTGGGAGGCTGAGGCAGGTGGATTACCAGAGATCAGGAATTTGAGACCACCCTGGCCAACATGGTGAAACCCTATCTTTACTAAAAATATAAAAACTAGCTGGGCATGGTGGCAAGCGCCTGTAATTCCAGCTACTCAGGAGGCTGAGGTAGGAGATTTGTTTGAACCTGGGAGGTGGAGGCTGCAGTGAGCTGAGATCCCACCACTGTACTCCAGCCTGGGTGACAGAGCGAGACTCTTGTCTCTAATAATAATGATAATAATAAAATTTTTAAAAACTTACTGTTCAATATTCACTCTTGCTAGTAAATAAGAAAAGATGAGAGAAATGAATTGAAAACTGTCCCACAAGACCCTGTATGGAAAAGGAGTCAAAGGACTGTTGAAGTACATAGAACTTCAGAGCTTTTAAGTCTAACAACATATATCCCAATCCTTCTTTCTGGAAAGCAGATTTTTGTGAATTGAGGGCAGAAATATTACAGAGCTGATGCTTCATGGCTCTGGAATAGTAAGTCCTCTGGGCCTGGATATCCTTCAGCTCTGCCACCTACCTCCTTGTTTGCTAAATGTCCTTAGAGAAGTTAGGATGTGCCCGGGGAACCCTGGGTCAGATAACCATGACAACTGGCTGACCCTGCTTTCTCTTGGTCTCTGCCCTCCTCTAGCTGGGAGGCGTTAGCAGCATTGCCCAAGACTCCCTGGGGTGATAGGAATTGTTTCTGCCTAAGGAGACACTCTGCAGCCTGGGCTCTGTGAAGCTGAGGTGGTGGTCAGCTAGAGTCCGCGTTGGGGTCCTGGGGCATCTGCCTTACCTGGCTTGTTTATGAACATTAAAGGGACGAGGTTGCAGGTAAGGGCCTCTTGGGAACATTGCTGGGAATGAAAAACAGCAGGGAAACTACTGAGGGTGAGAATCAAGGTGAATGACAGGAAGAATAGAGTAGCTATTCTGGGGCTACTGTCTTTTCCAGAACACAAATATATTGGCTTAGAAATAGAGGAATTGGAGAGGCACAGCGGATCATGCCTTTAATCGCAGTACTGCAGCTGGCCAAGGCAGGAGTTCAAGACCAACCTAGGCGACATAGTGGGATCCTGTCTCTACAAAAAAATAAGAATTAGCCCTGCATTGTGGCGCATGCCTGTAGTGCTAGCTACCTGGGAGGCTGAGGTGGGAGGATTCCTTGATCCTGGGAGGTTGAGGCTGCAGTGAGCCATGATCATGCCAGCACACTCCATCCTGGGCAACAGATCAAGACCCTGTCTCAAAAAAGAGATGGAGGGGGGAAGGGGGGAGAGAGAGAAATAGAAGAATTATCCCAGAGCCTTTTCAAAGATGAAACCTGAAACGTGTTTATTTATTTATTTAGAGATGTGGTCTCACTATAGTGTCCAGGCTGGTCTCACGCTCCTGGGGTCAAGCCATTCTCCCATGTCAGCCTCAGTAGCTGGGATTACAGGTGCTTGCCAATGCACCCAGCTTGAAACTTGTTATTTTAGTTCTCTTCTAGACCCAAATTCAAGAGCCTTAAGACTTCATCTAAAACTTTTTATCTCTTATGGTTACCTGCATTTTTCATTTTCTAACCTGAACTCTTATAAGAAACATCAGTCTTGGCTGGGCATGGTGGCTCACATCTGTAATCCCAGCACTTTGGGAGGCCGAGATGGGTGGTTTACTTGAGGTTAGGAGTTCGAGACCAGCCTGGCCAACATGGTGAAACCCCGTCTCTACCAAAAATACAAAAATTAACCGGGTGTGGTGGCTCGCGTCTGTAGTCCCAGCTACTTGAGAGGCTGAGACAGGAGAATCACTTGAACTTGGGAGGCAGAGGTTGCAGGGAGCTAAGATCATGCCATTGCACTCCAGCCTGGGTGACAGAGTGAGACTCCATCTCAAAAAATGAAAGAAACATCGGTCTTGCTAAATAAGCTGTGGAGCAGCTCACTGCCGTGGGACGCTGAGGAGAGGGTCTGTTGTGTGACATTCACCCTCCGACCTGATGCCTTCTGTTCGGGGCAAATGGGGTCCCAGGCAGCCTGGGCCTAGTGGGTGGCCATGACAGGTAGAGAAGGGACCCAGTGGAGCTCAAGCCTGAGGGCGTCTGATGGACCTGGGACTCTCTGCTTTGCAGCTTGAAGAACTAGGATGGCAGTCAACAAAGGCCCCACCTTGCTGGATGGAGACATCCCTGTAAGTAACTTGGGCATATATGTGATGGGATGGGAGCTGAGCGGGGATGAAGAAGCAGGGAGGGAGATGCAGGGGACTTAGAGCAAGATATGCCCAGATTCAAATTCTGCTCCATTGACTACCATGCCTTAGTTATTCTTGCCCTCACGACCTTTTGTAGGGGGCAGTTGAGGATCTGGGAGGGAAAAAAAAGATGCCTATTAAAAGCTAAGCACCTTGGAAACAAGGAGTAGAAATCCTGACTTGGGGACGGCGGGATGGAGAGGAAGAGAACTACTTTGTTTAAACCCTGATTCAGAAGCCCATGCTCTGCTCACCACGCAGCTGGATGAGTGTTCCGTGAGGAGCCTCTGCATCCTGTCACTCCAGCACCATCATTCACATGGCAAACAACACCTCCTGGAGTGAGACAGTGCACAGCCTGTGCTGCTGGGTGGGGAGAGGGTGGGATATTCCCTGTGTCTGGTGTACTGTCACTGACCTGGTTTTCACTGTGACTTGAAATGGCTTGATACTTTTAGGAATGTTCGATGCCTCCTGGCAAGGCATCTCAGATTTGGGCACAGTTCAGATAGTAAAACTTAAAAATTATGAACCCGGCCAGGCACTGTGGCTCACGCTTGTAATCCCAACACTTTGGGAGGCCGAGGGAGGCGGATCATGAGGTCAGGAGATCGAGACCATCCTGGCCAACATTGTGAAACCCTGCCTCTACTAAAAATACATAAATTAGCTGGGTGTGATGGCACACACCTGTAGTCCCAGCTACTTGGGAGGCTGAGGGAGGAGAATTGCTTGAACATGGGAGGCG